ATATCTTCTGTAGTGTGATTATTTCTATATAACTATGTTCAATTCTATCTAAAGACGTCAGCACATATTTTGTGATATTATTTAGTCCAAGTTTTTCGAGCCCTTTTGTTTTCTCTCAATTTATCAGAATTCTTCAGGTAACTCTAGCATAATATTTTATTGAGCTTCTATTCAGCAGAATAATGAAGGGAGAAAAACTCTTAACTGTGACAATTTATTATTTGTGCAACGGTATGATTTACATGTTTGATGGTTCATTTGTAGGTTGTAAGAAAATCAGACAAAAGGTGTTTTCTTAATGTTCAATATTTTTTTGTGGTATATTTTACTTAAATAATTTAAAAAAAATATTAATTCGTTCAGGTTTATTATTTTCCTCGTTGAAACGTTGCATTTTAAAAGTCATTTTAACCCTTTGACACAGAATTTTCATTAAACATATTTTTCAAAGGCATGTTTTTCACATTTTTTATTAAACATATCGATCAAAATATTAGAAAATGTTATATTTAGCATTTTAATGATTTATGTTTATGAAATGTAACATGAAACACTAAACACTATCTGCGTTAAAGGTAAAAATCTTCCTAACATGGGACACATTAAAACACTAATAATCACATTTGCACTTATTTAAATCTAAGAGAAACAGTTATTCATCATCGGGATTTCTCTAATTTTCAAAATCAATAATTGATCAACCTTTGAATAGATATATAAAAAAAAAAAAAAAAAAAAAAAAAAAAAAAAAAAAAAAAANAAAAAAACCTTCTAGCTACTTTTCTTAGATTTTATATTTTAGTTATGATAATCTAACAGATTTTTTTAGTAACTATTCGACTGTTTTTTTATAATTAAAAAGTACCAAAATATATTTTTGCTTGTAATTAGAGCATCAGATAAATATATAAATAAGAGACACCGGTGTCCCATCTGCATAATAAGTGGACACTAGTGCAAATAAAAATAACAAATAATGATTACCAGATGCATTATAAGTTTATGGGTAAAGATTAATTAACTAAGAAAATACGAGTCATTGTAAAATCCGACAAACTAAGAATAAGAACGTTAGAAAGGTGACAGACCGTTATTTAAATTACCGAATCGTATTTCATTATTTTTTTAGTTACCTCAAGACTAATACTTATACAAATTATCCCCATAAGTGTGGGGCCGGGATAGCCAGGTTGATAGGACGTTGGGCTCGTGTTCGTGAGAGCGGGAGTTCTAATCCCGCCGACAGTAGAATCCCCGTGTATTAAATGTTGACTGATGAACGTTAAATCTGTCGGGGTCACAAAGTCCTCCAAGTACCCATAACAAATCAATTACCCTGGGGGGAGCTGTGGGGGCTCAGGGGATAAAGCGTTCGCCTTCCAATGAGGCGAACCGGTTTAAATCCCAGTGATGGCTGGTCGGTACGAACTCCGCACCCGGCTCGCACCGACCACAGTGGTGATATAAAATATCCTCAGTGGTAGACGGATCATGGGTTAGATACCCCTTGCCGTCAGGTTAATCATGGGAGGTTTTCTTGGTTTTCCTCTCTATCAAAGAGTCCTCCACGAAGGCTAATTTCTCCTAATACTTCATCCAGGAGTTCCCTTGTTTTCTGGATAGGGTTCAAAATTACAAGATTACGGAGTTGAACATTAGTAGTCATAAATCCAAAATTGGGTCGGCTGCTCAACAACAGTTATGAAATAAAATAACACTGGGGGTACTGAATTGGAGATTAATCGTTCTCTGGTTCAGGTCAAAATTACGATCTGTGGATGAATGAATGGATTATGATTGGGTCCTCCCTGTGAAACGTGCTGTGACGTGCATGTAATTGAAGTAGTATTCTTGGCCACAGATGGCGCCACTTAAAAACAAGAAACGCACTTTCCGCCTTAAGAGTTCGGGTGATTTCAAGCAGAATTACTGGTATTGACGGTGGCATTAATAACAACATCTTTATAAGTGTAATCGTTTCAAAACTGTAATCAGGCCGTTAAAATAACGGCAATTATTTTTTTCATTTCGAAAAATAGAAATGTTTTATTCCGTTTTTCCTTTTCTAGGCGTTGCTTCTTGAGTTAAAAACAAAAGGAACATGAATTATAATTAGGCCTGTATTAATTTTAAACTCTAAATGCTCTGACATGTAATTATTTATTCATTTCTAATGACATTAAGATTTTGGCCGCCAGATGGCAGGTTTTGTTAAGTGGAATAGGGCGCTATACACCGCGGGAGAAATCCTTCATGGCAAGTTTTGTTTCATCCCCATCGATATTTTACAGAAATGTGAGTTAAGGCAAATTTTAGAGTAAACCATAAAGTTACAATCGCTAAAAAAATTTTCAAATTATCAAAGCTCAAAAATTTATTGCAGGATTACTTCCCCTCAGCATAATCTTAAGTTATCATTTCGATATTTTGAAAACATTTTTTTCAGCATTCGGAACTTTATGTTTTACTCTAGGTTTATCTTAACTAACCTTTTCTGTACAGAGCGCAAAATAAAAACGGATCATGCGTAATAACTCTTCACGTTCTAGGACACATTCTTTATGTTTCGAGGGGGTGATCACAAATATACTAATTCATTAGTGAAAACGATATTTTAAGTTACGAAATCAGACACACACAAAAAAAGCAGTTTCTCTGAATAAACATACTTTTTTTAAAAAATGGAGTCGGATTTTCGACCCCTGAAATATAGGAGATAGCCGCAATCTGGGTTTTATGATCCCATTAGTTTGTTCAGGAAAGCGATCCAAAGTTTGGACCCCTAGATATTAATTTTACTTTTTTGCCAAATCTTGCGAATTTTTTAAGCAAATTGAAAAATGTCTATGCACAATTATAAAATTTATTTATCCAAAGATAAAAAATAACTTTTAATCAATATTTATCAATTTTTACTATTTTAATTAATATTAGTCTCAAAAAAATCTGGAATCGTAAGGTATAAAAATTTTTACATTATTTTAAAGAATATAATGGCAAGGTAAAAAAATTTGAATGAAATCGGTCGAAGAGTTCATGAAAATTCGAATTTCTAGAAAGTGGTATTTTACAAATTCGATTTCGTAGGAGCTGTTAGATCGATTTGATTTCACTAAAATTTTGTATTTATATTCCTTCAAATGATGTAAGAAACTGTGTACTTTGTTGTCACTCAAAATTTTTTGACTAATATTAATTAAAATAAATATCTACTATAAGTCATTTTTTACGGATCTCTGGATAAAGTTTTTTTAAATTGTCTTCAAAATTTTTTCAACGAGATATAGTGAAATACGCAAAAAGTAAAACTAACATTTAGCCCAAACTTTAGATTGTTCTTCTGAACAAACTATGGGGACCATATTTCCTCGGCTACCTACCATATTTTGGGGGGTCAGAAATCCGAATTCGTTGAAAATAAGGTATGGTTATTCAGAGAAAGTACGCTTTTGCGTATGATTTCTTAACTTACAATATCGTCGGCACTGATTAACTAGCATATTTCAGGTCACCCCCTCAAAACAATAAGAATGAGATCTAGAACGCGAAGATCCGATCATTAGATCAAAAGTTATTTAGTGTGGTCTGTTTTCATGTTTCGCACTGTTCATTTTATTTTAAACTAATGTATGCTTTCTCCTGTGGTATAGCGTCCTCTTAATATCACAAATAAAGCAAGTTCGCAATACAACTTTATGTTCGGCATTTTAAAATTTTGTAAATCTAAATAAATGTTAATAGAATAGTAATAAATCACCTTGCTCTCAGACTAACCCTGGGAGGTTTTCCTCTCCATGTAACGCAATTGTGGGTAAGTTCCCTCGAAAAGTCCTCCACGAAGGAAAATTTCTCATAATGCTTGATGCAGGAGTTTTCTTGTCTTCTGGATTGGGTTCAAAATGACAAGGCTACAAAGTTGAACATTGGTAGTCGTAAACTCAAAATTGATTCGGCTGCTGAACCGTTGCATATATAAAAAAATATTATAATTATGGCTCAGGGGGTAGAGTACCGCCTTCCAATGAGGTGAACCAGGTTCGAATCAGAGCGATGGCTAGTCGAGACGAATTCCCACCCGGCCTGATCTGAACACAGACAATGCTGACGTAAAATATCCTCAGTGGTAGACGGATCAGAGTCACTTTGCTGTCAGGCTAACCAGGGGTGGTTTTCATGGTTTTCCTCTCCACGTAGCAGAAATGCGAGTTAGTTCCATCAAAAAGGACCTTCACGAAAGCAAATTTCTCACAATACTTGATGCAGAAGTTCCCTTGTCTTCTGGATCGGATTCAAAATTTCAAGGCTACAGAGTTGAATATTGGTAGTCGTAGACTCAAAATTAAGTCTGCTATGTTAAACGACGATTATAAAATAAAATATAGTAAATGCTAAGGAAGTTGTAAATTTTTTTAAAGTTTAATTAAATAAAATTTTCGCTAATTACTTCAAGAATCTCACCTATTCTCTCCCATTATTAATACTATTATTTCACCCCACATGAAGAAAATGAGGTAAAATGGAGTATTTAAAACAAATAATGAAATGAATAAAATAAATCGAATAAATTAAAGATGACAAAAAATTGTAATAACACAAATAAGTCGACTAGCAAGCATGATTTAAAAACACATTTTTCACTTTAAAAAAATAGAGACAAAAAATATTAGTCTAAAAGATTCGAAATATTTACAGCAATCCATGACAACATGTCATATTTTCTAACTTTTAAATGAGTGAAATAAAATTATTCCATTCAATTAAATTAGATAAATGTACATAATTAAACAGACAGACAAGAAAAAGAAAAGCGAGTTTTTAAATGATCAATGCAAATAGATACGATTAAATGGTAGAAAACTATTAATTTCGTGCTATTGCTTTTAGGAATTCGATGCCTTGTTAAGGGAATACGTCAGGAACCGTTATTACGAATATCGCCATTATATACGCAGTTTGGCGACTTCGAGAAAATCTCATTTGGCGCAAAAGAAGAGATTCAGTAGACGCCTAGAGATGGCAACCTCGAAACTCTGCGTTCTGCTACCGTGCGAAACATTGGAAAGGGATAGCAGGATAGCTTTGTGAAAGCTTTTAGTTTCAGTTCTAAAACTAGGTGTGTTGTGGGTGATGTCCCTTTAAATATTTAATTAATGAGGATATTTACCAACACTTTGGATATTTTCACTTGTGTTTGCGTAAACTAGACAACGAGGTGACAAACATTTGATGTTGTGATTTATCTTGGATTTAGTTGCGTGTGTTGAACGAGCTTAAAATGGGTGAGTAAAATATGTTTTTTTTTATTTATTATTCTATACGGAAAAATATACCGGTAAATTCTCTGCGTTAGGCCTAGCTAAATTTACTTAAGAATTATTAAAGTGGTGTAAATTGAATGTCATATTGGAATGTTTATGAATTATTATAGCTATGTGTTTCATAATTGTAAATTTAGATTAATTATGTTCCCGTAAAAATTTCGAAATGCAGTGTTGATCTACCTTGACTTGACCAATGATATTGGGAGTTAAACTCACTTATATTTACTGTCACATTTTAATAAACTCTAATGGATTTGTACAGATCTTAATTGTAAATTAAGATAAATTATTGAATTGCCGTATGAATTGTAAATATACTTCATAGTGTTGATCTGTCTTGACTTGACCATGGAGGTTGATGGGAATTTATCGTAATTTAATATACTTATGAATTATTTAATGGGTGGGGTGAATTCTTATGTTAGAATATTAATGAAGTCCGAAAGATTTTAAATTGTAACTTGTAAATTAAGATAAGTGATACCCACTGTCGCATAAATTGTAAATAAATAATTATGAACATAGTGATTATCCGTGATTTGACTGTTGATGGTAGGATGATTTGATCATCCTATTAAATTTTTTTTCTTTTTTAGATGCATTTTATCCTACTGTACAAATGCCCTCTGTTATTTATTTAAAGATAAAATTTTATTTTTCCAATTACAAAGCAATTGTTAATTGTGTCAATTCACAAACAGGTTTTTAAGTTACATATATATATATATATATATATATATATATATATATGGATTTCCCATGCCATAAACGTTTTTAAATTGTATTCATTGTTGATATTGTGACATTGAATTAGGAATGATTTGCTGTTATTGGATTTGTAAGAAAGTTGCATTTTATTCTATAGAACGGATGAAGATAAGTTCATGTAATTACATTATCCTGTTGATTTCTTTTATTAAGTTTATAATGGTATCAGTTATTATCATTTAATTTTAATAAATTTTATAATTTAAATGAAACCTTATTTATGTTTATTATTGTAACAAGTTGCAACATCCTTTCTTGGTTTACTTTCCTGTTAAATAATCTTTTTCTTCTGACAACGATCCTCATCTTTCATTGATCATTTTGGTTTTATGTATATTAATAAGTAAATTTCAAGCAAAATATCAAATTGGGTATATGCTTAATAATAAAAATAAAGAAATATTGAACGAAACTACACCTACTAAAAGTATTAAAGATAGGGAAGTTTATGGATGTGTTTGAAAATTGCAGGAAGCAATTAAATCTAGGATTCCTGCCACTAGAGATAATGGCAAACATGGGTAAGACGATGGAAAAACCTGTTAAGAAAAATTTTAGAACTGTGGTTGCTTAGTTATCTCAGGACTGTGGAGTTGGAATAGAGCAAAATTTTGCAAGAGTTTGAGTTCCAAGTCAGAAAATGTTCTTTACTTGGACTCCAGTTACTAAAAATAGGTTTTGTAGCTTAAAAGAGAAGTTATTGATCTTGTAAGAAATTATTAAAATTATTATTTATAAATATGTAGGCAAAAATGTTACTTAAATGAATATGGCAGTTACTCAAAATCATAATTTCATTTGAACACTTCGATCCTATGTTGATCTGAACTATTGGAAAAGTACACTGAAAATTATTGAAATATTGACAGTTATAAATTAGTTTTAATCTAAAAGTATGTATTTTGATGCATTTCTTATAGTTATCTAGCTCGTGAATATTCGCTAAAAAGAAAAAATTTTTTTTGTTGTAAGGCACGCGGTTAAGAGTGTATGAAAAATATAGATATTTAGTTCTTTTCGTAAATTTTTTTGCACTATTTCAGTATTTTGTAATAATATAGCTTTTAAAATGTAGTATATCCGGCCGTGAAAGTCGACTTTTGTCTGGTCGAGAAACTAAAAAAAGAAGATCACAGAAGGAGAGACTAACTCTTAGCTACTCTTTGGCAAATCTCTAGTTTTTTTTTTTTTTTTTTAATTTGCAAGTTTAAAATCCATTTGATTTCTTGGTGATTGTTGTTGGTGTGACCGATCATGACATGGAAATGTCCCTTAAATTATGTCCAGAAAAAAAATTAAGATATTCAAGAGTATTTCTAATTATGTCTTTTAAAATATACCTTAAAGCTACTAGTCTAAGAATTCCAGAACATTGCATGTTTGTTAATGAAGGACATTAAGCTGTGTTGTCATACGGATCCCACTTTGCAGTGTATTGAATGGAGAATTTTATATACCCTCAACTTTTTTTAATTTAAGAAATTTTTATGTTTGAATTTTTTAGTAGTCTACTTACATGCCTGACATACCAAAAATTTGCTATCTCTTAATAAAAAAAAAGGAGGTTGAATTGTTTACCAGGATTTCAAATTATTAGCCAGTTAATTAGCCAAAGGCTAAAAAATGTAGATATTTTTTTAATCATCTTTGAGGGAAGGAAATAGGAATAGGTTGGGGTTTAATTTTGGATAAATTTGTAGACTAAAAGCAGTAATATAAGGATAAACTTTAAACAACATTATGTTATTTTTACACTGTTGTATATGTTATTGTCATGAGAATTTTCTGCAAAAATATTTGGATGATCATATGCATCTGGCTACCACATAATCTGTTTTATTGACACAAACTGTAGGTGTATCTGTTTTATTGTCAAAAAAGTTTGTCATGTAATATCGCATGATCTGGCAATGAACATGGTAATATGTATTTTTTAGTAGTTCGTCTCATGCTTACAGGATCTCTCTTCTTACTTACATTATCTGGACATAATATAATTCTAATTTGTTACACGATGTATCTAATGGAAATGACTGTAATCGAATAAAGAGTATAGGATTTGTTCAGAAAAATTCACTTTGACCTTTTTTTTTTCAGGATTGAGGGGAATGTATATTTTCTTTTCTGTAGAAAAAACCATTCTCTAAAACATAATTTTTATAGCCGAGTTTACGATTTTATCTTATTTGGAGAGGTGGCGAAAGCTTAGCTTGGGCCCTATGTATATTTAACTTCAACTGTGTTATAATATAAAATGTAATTTTAAATAACGTATAATTTACTCTAATTGTACATGAAAATAGAAACATATAATTTGAAATTAACATTTGCTTAATAAAGATATTAATATTTTCCTGCGATTCGGTGGAAATTTTAACTGAGCAGGAGTCTCGATTGAAGTCAAAGTAGCACTCTTAGTAACCGCCAAAGTCTGACATCCAAAACATGCTATATGAGAGTGCTGTAAGCTGCATTTCAAATAAAATAATTGCTCAATCAATTTTGTTGATTTGCACTAAACATTAACTTTTGCTAGGAAATATTCATTTCATAATCAACTTGTGTAAAAATTATCAACTTATATTGGTAATTTTTACACTAAGTCCGTACCCTTAAGATTACCAATCAATGACCAGTATTGAAGAAACTTTTTTAAAATAAAAATTCATTGACAATTTTAAATTGTAATTGCTGGGATAAATATAATTTCTGTCCCCTCACTTAAAAGCTTTTAAAGCACAGGAAGAAAATATTTTATTTTTTTATTGAATGAATAATTTAAAAGTAAATATAGGTGAACATTTTAAATAACTTCTAATTTAAAATTTCTAATTTGAAATTTTATTAATATTTTTTAGGAAAATAGATTAGTATATCTAACATTTTAAAAAATATTAAGAATTTCCATGGGAATACTTACTAGAGAATATTTCGATCACTTATATTTTTATTATTACCTTAAATAAGACCATATTTACATAATAATTTAAAATTAGAATTCTTGTTTTAAAATGCATTTTTGTGTGAAGTGCAATAATGAGAATTAACAAGAAAAAAATTATTTTTTAAAAATTTTTGGATGTATTATATTACAACCAATGTAACTTCTCATCCAAACAGTCCGGTGAAAATTTAAGTTAGCTTTTTACGCAGAAGTTTTATTTTTGACCTATTTATCTATATTTAATTATTATTTTTATTTAATTTATTATTTTTACCTATATTTAAACAATTTATCTAAAATTAAGAAATGTCAATGAGTTATTGAAACAGAAATTAGACATATACATAATATGCATGAACTTTATGAATAGTTTTAAGTTACCGAATTCCTATTAGTACTCAAGTTTTTAAAAAAATAAAAACTGACAATAAAAATCACAATTACAAAATTCAAACATTAATGTTATTAAAATTACAACTTTGTGCGAATGTAGATTATTCTATTCTTAATAAAAGTTAAAAAAGGAAATAAGAATGCCAATAAAATTTCCAATTAAAAGTTTAAAAAATAAATAAACAAAAATACAGTTAAAATTTTAATCTATCAAACTATCGCTTGGACGCGAAACAGAATGAGTCTTTTGACTTTTTCTCAAAAGAATGGATAACAGTCATAAATTTGCTCTTAAATTTTAAAATTTGATGTTCTTTCTCTCAAACAATGTTCTTGTTGTCAAATAACAATTTTTTATATTTTTTATTATTGTTTGAATTCTGACAAAACGAAACTAAATACGTAATAATATGACCAAATGAATCATACATTAAAAAAATTTCAAATAGTAAAGAAACTATAGACCCTTTGGTAATTATTGTCCCCTTATTTGCATTTCAGATTAGTACAGTAATTACAGAACAATAGTTTTTGCCAAATAAATGAAAAAACTATTTTTATTCTTTTAGTTAAACTGTCCATATTTTATAAATGTGAGGTGTATTGTAAGGTGTAATTCGTAAATGTAAGGTGCAATTTTTGATTTGTCCGTTTTGTACAAATCAAAATTTTTTAATTGCTTGTAATGTCTTCCATAAAAATTAGGGGGCAGTAATAACATTAAAAAAACTAAGCTTATGGGCCCTAAAAGAAATGGAACTGCTATTAAACTTCTCTGTTCTGTAGAGAAAAGTGTTCTTTGTAATCTGAAAGTTTTTTTTTATCCAACTAGAGTCATCTAAAATGTTTCACT